CCCCCTCCCCTCCCTCTCCCCTCCCACTCCTCTCCTCTTCCTCCCTCTTCTCTCTTCCCCTCCCTCTTCTCCCTCATCTCTCTTCTTCTCTCCCCTTTCCTTCCCTCCCTCCTTCCCCTCTTCCCCTCTCCCTCCCTCTTCTTCTCTTTCTCCTTCAATTTAATAAAGAATAATAATAATAACAGCAGCAAAGATTTAATAACAAGAAATAATAATAAGAGCAATAATAACGACAATAATGATAACAATAATAATATCAAACTAACAATAAGAATAAAAACAACAATAACCATAACACATACAATAATAATAATAGTAATAATAATAATAATAAAAATAATAATAATAATAATAATAATAAACAATAATAATAATCTCAACAACTAAACAACTATAATAATAATGCTGATGAAAAAAAAAAAAAAAATAAAAAAATAATAATGATGATGATGATAATATCAATATTAAAAATAATTGCAATAGCAATAATAAAAATACCAATAACAATAATATCAACAATAACAAGTAAACAGCAATTACAATAAACACAAAACAATAAAGATAACGATACCGATAAAGAGAATAACAATAACACTAATAACAATTATAACAAATTTATTCAAAGCATAAGAGCAACAAAAAATATCAACGGTGTTAAGGATCATTATTGTAATCAACATGACGATCGTTATTAGGCTTACCATTATAGGCCTATATTTACACACACACAAATATATATATATATATATATATATATAATATATATATATATATATATATATATATATATATATATTATATAATATATATATATATATATATATATATATATACATATTATATATATATACATATATATATATATATATATATATATATATATATATATATATATATATATATATATATAAATATATATATATATATATATATATATATATATATATATATATATATATATATATTATATATATATATATATATATATTTTTTTTTACAATGACGTCATTTCCATCATAATAGGTCATTATTACAGTTACTCTTGCCAATGACATTAAAGTCATCCTCTTTATCACTGACAGTCATCGTTACCATAATTATGACATGACATTTTCGTTGTAACTTCATTTCATCATATATTTTCCCTTGAAATAATTCGTTTCTCTCTCTCTCTCTCTCTCTCTCCTCTCTCTCCTCCTCATCTCCTCCTCTCCTCTCCTCTCTCGCTCTCCTCTCCTCCGCTCTCCTCGCTCTCTCTCTCTCTCTCCTCTCTCTCTCTCGCTCTCTCTCGTCTCTCTCTCTCTCTCTCTCTCTCTCTCTCTGTGTGTGTGTGTGTGTGTGTGTGTGTGTGTGTGTGTGTGTGTGTGTGTGTGTAAGTGTGTGTGTGTGTGTAAGTGTGTGTGTGTGTAAGTGTGTGTGTAAGTGTGTGTGTGTAAGTGTGTGTGTGTGTAATAAATATTTGTAAGTATATATGTATGTAAATATATACATATATGTATAAATATTTGTAAGTATCTCTCTCTCTCCTTTCTTTCAGCCAGTACTTCCTATTTCCTACTTCGTCCCTCTTCTATATATCACCCCTACCTTCCCCCCCCCCTTCCCCTAATCCCATCCTACCTCTCTTCTCATCTGCACCCCCCCCTCTCCATTCGTTACCCCCACACCTTTCTCTAACCCTTCCCCTCCCCCTCCCCCCCAATCCACTCGCAGCACACCAACTTCCCTCCAGTCATTCCCCTATCACTTTCCCTTCCAATCCCCCCCCCCCCCCGCCACCAGTTCACCCTCCACTCAACCGCCTCGGTGCCCCCCTCTCCCCCCACCCCAACCCCTACCAGCACCTCGGCCTCCGGTACCCACTGCTCTTCTCGGAGATGTTTTAGTTCAGTTTCCCCTCCCGATCTTCCCCCTACGTGGCCTCCCCCCCCCCTTGTAAACATCTGTAGGTGACTGTCAGCGGCTTTAATGACCTCTATAAATAGCTCACCTAAGATCCATTGTGGGGTATTTCAAGGTGCTAGTACTACAAGGCTACAGGAATCTTCTCGGGAGGAAAAATGGGGCTATTACTCTCCGCCTCTCGTTTTCTTCGACTGTTCCTCGTTTTCTTTGATCTCCGCCTCTTCCTCGTTGCTCTTGTTGTTGTTGATGTTATCCTCATCATTATGCCCTTCATTTCCCGTCGTAACAAGCACTGCATTTCCCAATTATCACCATCATTATAATTAGCGTTCCTCTCATCATCATGGTCACCTTCACCCTCACCATCCTCCTGCTGCCTCCTTCCTCCTAGCCCTCGAGCCTCAGTAGTAAGAGTACTACAGGGGACGCGCCTCTTCCACTACGCTGCTGGCTGGCGCTTCCCCACCTCCACCCCTACCCTATCTCCCTCCCTCCCTCCCCAGCCCGGCCCCAGCCACCCACCCACCGCCACCGCCGCGGCCCCACCAAGGTCTGGTGTTCCTCAGTGAGTCAAGCATTTGACATGTGTTATCAG